GCTCCTCATCAGACTTGTTCTCCAGACCCCTCACCAGCCTCGTTGCCCTTCTCTGGACACGCTCCAGCACCTCGACGTCCTTCTTGTAGTGAGGGGCCCAAAACTGAACACAGTGTTCGAGGTGCGGCCTCACCAGGGCCAAGTACAGGGGCACGATCGCTTCCCTACTCCTGCTGGCCACACTATTTCTGATACAGGCCAGTACAGTATACAATATATATATATACACACAGTACAGTATACAGTCTTCTGTATATAGAAAACAGCTGAGGAACAGCATCTCCAACTGAAATATCACCCACACTGTTTTCTCTCCAGAATTATTTAATAAATGTAACTAATATCTGCAAACAGTTTGCAGGTCTCCTCACAACTTTGGGGTCAAATTGTTGCAAACTTCATGCAAGCATCAAACTATTATTTCTTAACTAAGAAAGGACCCTGGGTCTACTCTGGGATGGCTAATGGCCTGAGGTAGTCCTCAGGCACATGGCAGGCTTAGGTCCAAAACTCTCTCCTGCTCGTTTTTGGCATCGCCTTACCCAACAGGCTCTTCTGGAGCAAGTCTCTCATGATGTCTCCTGCTGTTCCTTCTGCATTAAAGAAGTAAAGTGCAGGGCACGGCTCAGAAAAGAGGAGTGGGCTTCAGCCACGTAGGTGTCTCCGTGTGAGCTAGGTGTCTGAACTCCCGTTTTCAACAGCGGGTAGGGGATTTCTGTGGCCACAAGGTAATCATCTAGTGATGTTTTAGGCACCCTTGTGTATAAGGCTTGACCAATACCACACCTCTTCACCCCACCCTGTGCAAATATCTTGAGTACCCCAGATAGCCGAGGGTTCACTAACAGCATCAAGTACCTATGTTCAGGCAGATGAAGCCTGCTGGGAAGAGCGAGGCAGGGCAGTCAGCAGAGTCAACTCAGCTCACCTTTACTGTGATGTGCACATGTGAGCTGCTGAATAGGTCTCTAGACCCCACATGCTGTACAACCTGTGGGCTCCACTGAGATATCTGCATATGGGAGCACAGGGCTGTCTGAGGTGGGCCAAGGACGAGAGGAAATGGCCTCAAGTTGTGCCAGGGGAGGTTTAGATTGGACGTGAGGAAAAATGTCTTTACTGAAAGAGTGGTTAAACATTGGACCAGGCTGCCCAGGGAAGGGGTTGAGTCCCCATCCCTGGAGGTATTTAAAAGACGAGTACATGAGGCACTTAGGGACATGGTTTAGTGGGTGGTGGTGTTGGGTCGACGGTTGGACTCGATGATCTTAGAGGTCTTTTCCAACCTTAATGATTCTATGATTC